TCCACCTGTGCCACCTGCTGGTTCAATCAACTAATAAACTCCCCCAGCCGACGGCGACTGCAAAGTGATTATTGATTTAATTACACATCAAAGCAGCGAAGAAGATCAAGGCGTAAGGATGGGTTGTGGATGGTGGGAGTTGGCAATCAATGGTAATATACGGAGAGGTACGTCATCATCGCCGGGAACCAGGAACCGGCAACCGAAAGCTCGGCTGCTGTCGTCACTATGCCAAAGTAATAAAATGCTAATGAATTAATTTTCGCAGGAACCTTGCAATAAAGTTGGGTCCCCCTGCCACTTTGCGCCCTTAACTGCTTCTGATATTTAACATTTACGTTGGCCCGAAGACATGCCGGCGAGTGCATTAAATTTAACGAACTCCTATTAGACCGGGCTCCAAAATGAATTATGCATTTAATATTATTATTAAACATTTTAGTAGCCCATCAAAGACGGCTGCAAATATTTGATGTTGTTACATTTTAATCATCTCCCTGCCCCTGTTTACACAAGGGGGCAATTCAAATTGGAAACGCTCCCTAAATAGTTGCATTAAACAAATATTTCGGATGGCAGAAGGAGTCGGAAGTAGGCAAAAGCAATTTCCTAGTCACAGATTTGATTTTGTTTGTCGAAGCGGTGCGGCATAAAATCGTTTGCCAAATGCCAAATGCCAAAGCGCTCAGATACAGATGCGGTATCTGTGAGACACAGTATCTGCGAGATACATTCGGCTAATGAAATGCACGCTCCGCCATGCCCATTCCCCTCCGGAAAACTGGGCAAATAATCAACTCCGGAGCGGGAACAACAATAAGGACCACAGTGGAATCGAGCTGCCTAAGAGCTCGTAAAAAAACTCGCCACACGATAAAAATCAAAGGGAAATATCTGCCAACTTGAATTCAATGGGATGGCCAGCGAACTGCACTCGACTGGTGGATACCCAGTCCTATTTTCTGTCGTATAATACCAATACTCCAGTAAATTCTTCAATAAAGTGTAGAAATAGAGTGCAGACCAAAACATTGAAAAATTTAAATATTTTAAATTTAAATAAATTTTACTAAGCCAGGAAGTAAAGCAATAAATAGGACACTAGCAGTACATTTTATTATGGAGTACAGATTTCCATACATTACAGATTTCGAATGGCCTTAGCTACCCATTCAACTTCCGGAATACCCTAGAGGAGCGCCCGCCTCTGCTGACCGCAAAGCAAAACTTTTTGCGTCCGATTTATGCGGCAATATTTTGCTTTGAAATCGCTTCGTGGCCAACACGCAGTGCCACCCACCGCCCAACCACCCAACCGCCCAGCGGAGCACAAAGACAAACACAAATACAACCTGTGGCATTCATTCGCCTGCCTGAGTTTCGGTTAAACGAGAGTTCTATTTACATTTTGCGCTCGAACGCATTTCATCTTTATCTTTTATGCCATGGCAAGCCGAATGGAATCGAGGGGATGAGCATCTAAATTTTAAATTGAAAATTGATTTTCCCCCATGCTCGAGTGTTCGCAATTCCTTGCTGTTTGTCTAGCATTTGATTTTTTTCCATCTAACTGCGCGGATTGGTCAGTTTTTTTTTTTTTTTTTGAGTTTGATTCCGTCTTTGGCCCGCGGTCAGATGGAAGGGAATTCTCTGCGAGATGTCGAATCCGAGGGGTTGGGAATTGGGACCATTTGCCAACATAAGTGCGCCTCAGTGACTTTCGATTCCATATTCAAGGATTGCCCATTCTGATTGATTTTTTCTTGTGCCGTAAATATGGAAAATGCAAGCGAAATGGTATCCCCTATTTGGGCGGCCTTTGCTTTGGAACAGATTGGATTTCTTATCTGATTTCGGATGGGAATACGAGTGTTTTTATATTGTACTTATAAGAAGCAATATCGAGAACGATATCATCAACAAAATGCTAAACTCCAACCTAATTCAAGTTACCTCATAGTTTTATACTTTAAGTTAGCTTTAAATAATAATATTATTATATTATTTTTAGAGCCACTTAATTCATCTTGTCTTTGTTTTAGTTACCTAGCTGTGAGTTATTAATTTCCCTTTTTCTTCCTTAACTTAAGTAACTTAACTTAACTCCCAGTCCTTAGCCGTTCCTTCAGTGTCTCCCCAAGGTAAGTCAACTTTTTCCAACCCCCTTGGCCAATTCTTCGAGTGAGCTTATTGATTTTCTGTGGGTCTTATCTAAATTTGCTGTAACAGTTAGCGGGTAAATTTGAAATATTATTAAGACAAATATACAGGGAGTGAAGGAATGGGAGTTTGGCTCATGGAAGGCGGTCATAAGCCTATCAAAACGTTTTTATTAGATCCCTGCACGCGCCCCAAAAGAAAAGTGAGGGAAAACAGAGGGGGTCGCCGACAGTTTCGCGTGTGTTTGCACTTTTCCGGCCGGTTTTCCAGCTTTTCTTGGGGGGTTGTTGTTATTGTGTTAAAGAAATTGATAGCCGGCGACAAATCATACCTTGAGAGGAGGTCGAAGAACTGGGGCTGCATTTGCTGGATGTTTTTGGGGTGGCTTGTGGCTCCACGGATTATTTGGGCCGTAATGTGGTGTTCCTGCGTTGTTGTTGCACAATTTGCCGGCCTGCTAATAAAATTTGATAAGCCAAAGTGGAGCAGAGCGCCAGACGAGTCCAATAAAATGTTTACCCGCTGCACGCAAATTGGGGATAAATTTTACGTAATGCAGGGGGAGTGACACCCAGACTATCAGACATCCATCCACCCCAGATTCACCCTGGATCTGCCCCCAAGAACACCCGGCAATTGCAAAGTTAATTTGCGCATAAAAATGTTGCCAGGGGAGTCATCTCTAGCCTCCTTCGAGGATTAGCCATAAAAGTGGTCTCCCAGTTAAATTTTTTTTTTTTGGTTTTTTTGCCCGGCCCTTTGATTTATGCCAATGTGTTTTGATTTGCGCCATTTCATTCTATTCTATTTGATGATACCCTGGCCATTACCGTTTTCGGTTTGATGCATGCGAAATGCATTTTTGATGACAGTTAATGGAGTTTTTACTGTCTCCCAACGTGGAGTTTATGTGGCAGTGGAGATTTTTTTGGGGGACTCGCTAAATTTCCATTCCCTTCGCTGACTTGGCACATTTTTTGATGTTGGCTTTTGGTTTTTGGGCGCAGTGCAAATGATTCGGGGTTGGTTGGTTTTATCGGGGGAATGGGAATGGGAATGGAGGCCAGACAGACCAACTTTCGGAACGTTTTTATATGGTCTGGATGGTTTATAGGGATTTCTTACATTTATGGGTGTATAAAATATACAAATTTTCGAGCCAGCAACGTTGTTAGGAGTCTCGTGCTTTCCCTTAAAGTCCTGAACCTTACAGAGCAAAATATGCAAAATGAAAATTATAAAAAAGATTGGGATGACATTTAAACTCTTCTTTTTTAAAGAGATCTCCGAGACTTTTAAGTACACTTTGGTATTTTATTCTATTACACAGACCAATAAGTTATGTTTTACAGTTTAATGCTCTTTAAAAATATTACAAATAAATGTCCTCTATAAATATACATATAAAATGCTGTTATTTTTTACCATTTCCTAAAGAACTCCTAAACCTGTTATGTCATTTCGAACATTCGCAAACTACGTAAATATTTATTTTCCAATTAAACATTACAATCACATTCAACCATAAGCCAAAATTCCATATGCACATAGCAGAGATTTGCCTCCATTAGGCGATCCTATTGCCTCTTTTGGGCTTACTGGCCGAGTCAAATGTAAAGTCATGCCAAATATTTGCGCACACAAAGCGACAAAGTCAGGGCCGAAAAGCAAAAAGGACATCGTGTGGGCAAACACACTTACACACCCGCACACGAATCGACACACGCCCCACCACCAACCACCCAGCCAACCACCCACTCACGCATCTGCATAGCAAACAAAAAGGAAAGTCTGCCAGGGGAGTGGCGGGGATAAGAATGGGGGACGGGAGGCGGAAGCGGAGCCAGGACACTTAAATGCTGCTCAAAATTGGATTTGGAGCAGCCTAGAGAAGTGCTCCACTCCCCCCCACCAAACAGACGAATGCTGATAAACATTTTTATAGTTAGGCTCGAGTTTGCCACAATCATGGCTCATCCTTTTCGCCCTGAAAGGATATTTGCCTTCGCCGCCCGATTCCCCAGCTGCACATTAAAGCCCAGCGAAGGAGCTGGAGTGGTAGAGGTCCTTGAAGGCTGTGCCGCTGTTTATGCTTATTTAAAAAAGTGGCGTCGCCTCCCAGTTTTGATTTGATAAAGCAAAAGAAAAGCAAAGACAGCAAAGAACAGCAAAGAGCGGCAAATGATAAGGAGGCTTACAGGAAATATGAGATATCCCATACTCAGATACCCTTTCAACGGCTTAGAAAATACACAAATGAAATCCTGAGTATTTAGTGTAGAACTCTTTTGATCTTATGTGTCTGGCATAATTCTAAGGTAAAAATCATATTTCTTGAATGACTTCAGCGATGTATTAAGACATACTTGGATTGTAAACATATCGTAAATAATATATTTATAAAAAAAAGAATAGATTTTTTTATAATAGCAAAGTGACAACCAGGTAGTGTAGTAAAATGGATGGACGAATGTGGTGGCAAAGCAAGGAGCTGCACAGTGGAGTGAGTAGGTGAACCGGCTGATAAAAAATCGTTTATGCAAGTCACATACGCACGAAGCTTTTAATAATAAAAACAACGAGCTTCTGTAATACGAAAACAAAGTAAGCAACCAAGCGTGCGTGTGAATGTCTTTATGCCACGGAAATTGTGGTGTGAAGCAGGATTCACTGCATCCAAGGAATATTCAACTTATTGCCCAAAATAAAAATCAATGCCGTATTTTCAAGTTTCTTAGCCTATACATATTCCTTGGATACATTTAATTCGTGTACATTTTCGTAGACTTCTGGTTGTTGCACCAAATCATAGTAACTTATGCAGTATTTTAAAACTAAAGTTTTACAATCGTAAATTCGACTTTATTGGTAGTACAAGTTTAACAAAATGAATGCATAGGGTGAATGAAAACACAACTGAGTAATATAAATCAAAATAAGATTAAGTATTTAAAAATACGTATAAACTGTAATCGATCAATGATGTGGTATGCCAATACTTTTTATAAATCTTTAACTAATAGCTACAAATATGCACCAGCTCACATCTGGCCCAATCAAGAAAAGATTATTCTGAAGAGTTCTTTCAGCGGAACGGATACACTGCAACTAGAGCCGCAGAGAACTACATCCGCGTAGATCTGATGCTCGCGACTATATGTAAGGTTCTTGATGGAGGTGAATTTCGGCTGAACAACCCGCTGGAAGAGGTCCTCCTTGCGCTGGGCGTAGCAGAGCTCGCCACACGGGCACCTGGGAGCCTCACAAATCAGGTCGATGAGCACTGCGGGCACAGAGCCCACCGGCAAAGGCAGCTTATGTTTATCCACAGCCCGGGCTGCCAGAAGCCACAGAGGTTGCGGCGAGTTGGATGCCACCTTTTGCTGAGACATCTGCTGCGCAGCATCCGCATTGAATTCCTTGAAGCAGTTGCCCCACACATCCAACAGGTCGATCCGTAGATCCTCGACGGCAGAAGGCAGGGACTCCAGTTTGTTGCTGCACACATATAGTTTTCGCAGTGCTTGTAACCGACGAATGGCAAAGGGCAGCCGACTCAGCAGGTTGTTGTTGAGGTTTAGCGATACTAGGGCTTCGAATTTAACCAGCGGAGGAGGAAAATAGGTCAGCCCGTTGCCCGAGAGATCCAGCTCGCCGAGCGACTGACTCAGCTTAGTGCCCCGCAGCCAGCACCAATCATTCTTCTCACCCAGTAAGTTGTTGCCCAGGTGCAGCGAGGTCAGGGCAAGGCGACCCAGCTCCGAGGGAATCTAAAAGGCGGAATAAAGCATCAGTTAGTGGACGACGATGATAACTTATTGGCCAACCCACCTTGGTCAGCTTGTTACCGCTGATATCCAGCTTTGTGAGGTTGCGCAGGGTGCATATCTCGAAGCTCAGCTTCACCAGCTGGCTGTTGTTGATGGTCAGCGACTTGAGAGTGCGCGGAAATCCCTTGATGGGATACTCGCTGCGCTTGCTGATTACCATGCGCACCTGGGGCTGTGCCTTCTGCGGAATTGCCGTGGCGGCGGCGATGTTCAGTCTCAGATTGATGGCGTCCTTGCCATCCATGCCCAGCTTGAGGGTCTGCAGGAATCCCTTCAGCTGAATGGGATCGCACTTGATCAGCAGGTTATCTGGCGGCTGTAGGAAGCCAACGGTGGCCTTCCCATCCAGCACAAACTTGGTGTGCACGGCGTGAATGTTATCCTTGACCTTGTAGCGATTCCCAGTCTTGTTTTGTCCACTGAAGAGCACCATTTCCAGCTCCTTCTTGGTGTTCCCATTCGCGTCCCTGGCGCTCTGCTTGTAGCCAATGGCCAGTGTGGATTTCACGGCACGCGGCGTCTTGTTGGCCTGGGTGCTGCGATTAACCACCTGAACCTCGCACAAAATTTTCATGGCGAGGCAATGCTTAGACAATAAACATAAAAAAAGCCGCTAAATAAAACAAATCATTTGTGTTGGCCTCAAGAGTTGCCACCTGGTGGTTAGGACAGCTGATAATATCGCGCTGCCACGCGATAGTTGGGGGTGGACCACATACCGATGTTTGAAGATTGGCTTTTGGAACTAGTTTCGAAGTGCAGCATAAAAAGCTCTCGAAAGAAAATCAAACAGCGCAGGACAAGTTACAAAACCAAAACAAGCAACGGCACTCGTTTAAAGACTCCCATTTAAATACCGGAAAATGCTATTTCGCAAGGCGCGCCGTCACTTTCTGCCGTTCTACATGTTCAATGGCTTCTTGTGACAGCGAAACGAACGATATCAGCGTTTGCGTTACAACAGCTCCAATATTGGTCAACCGAGGTCTGAGCTTACAGTAAGTAATGGGTGCAACATATGGAGCAATACAGTGGTCATTCGATATACTAAGACATTGCAAAACTGCAATGCACTGACTAGATTTTTGAAATATTTTAAGAAAAATGTCATAACTGATTTGCCTCTCTGCCAAAATGTTTCTGCAGCACAACAGCTTGTTGGACAACTATGCGAACAGCAATGTGATAATAAACATTGACAACTGCGCGCTCTACAGCACCAATGTAAGAATGGAAATGAATTAACATTTTAAAACCATTACGAATACTAACGATCTTTTCCCTTCCGCTGATCTGGCAACCCCAAGAGGCCAGCTGACCGAAAGTCGATAACTGGCGCATCGCACGATCGACAGCGACGACGACGCCAGCGGTTTTTAGTCATTTTTCGGTTTTTCTGCGCAACGGTCGCTTTCGGCTTGGCAATCGCCTGCGTCATCTACACGCTTCACACAATGGGCTGGATTTTTGCTGTGCTCGTCGCACTCGTGGCTCTGCTGCTGACGAAACCCGGCTGGCGATGGTTCTACATAGCGGGTGCGACCGCTAGTCGCGATCTGACGTGAGTGCTGGTGCTGGGGTGGAGGGGGTCCTCATTGGCGAGGGCACACTGTACCCAAGACAGTGCAGTGATAGGTTTACAATACCGCCCCCGTGCGGTTTGCATTTCAATACACAATATCTCTGGGCTTTTCTTTTGTGAATCGATTGAGAACATCAGCGAACTGAAAAATCAGCCGAGTGCGAGGCTCACTTCGCACACGAAACTCAGAAGCCACAAAGAAAAAACTCGTTTTCCGTCTATTTGGGTCGCCAGCTGCAGCATTCATTTCCAGTCCGTTGTCGGTTGGGAAAACCGCAAAAGAGAAAACTTCACGGGTAAATTAGCCAGATCCATCCACCATAGTGACGAATAGTCAGCGCAAATTATTAGTTTTTGCCGCTGGATTACGAGCAGTTTATTGACTTCTTCAGGATCAAGGTCGCCCAGCCCAAAAATAAAAAAAAAGTCGAGAAACCAAAACAAAACTCGCTTTTATTTACCATTGACTTCGTACGATCGTCGCCCAGCGAAACCCTCCGCGCATACTAATCATCCGAATCCGATCGAGTGCGTCAGGCGGAAGACCACTGGCACACTAACCGACCTGTTCTTGAAAACGTACGCCAGAAAGTCAAAAGCCTGGGTAATTATGATGGCGGAAGTGTCGCCTCAGTTCGAAATTTTCTGTTTTCCAGGGTTGCCAGGCTGGCTACATTTCGAAATTTGCGCCTAAAGATAGTTTAGTATTCCGAATAGTTAACCAGCTGAAGCGCATTACAATTTAAATGACTAACACTTTTATGCGAGGAATTTCTTGCATTTTTTGGTTTTTATAAGATTTACCTACAGGTAATTTGCTTACCTCTTAGGAATTTCATGAAATTACAAAAGCATTGAACACAGATTTAAAATTAGTAGTAGTATGATTCACATTTTTTGGTTGCAGTGGAAGTTTTGCGATTCCAGGGTAGCCACGGCCATGTTCAAACTATTCCATTTGTAGACCGAGCAATAAGCGAACGAAAAGGTTGTCCAAACTATGTATATACATATGTATCAATATATCTAGTGTATGGCTTTGCCTTACGATAATTAAAAAAGCGGAAGTGTCGCCTATTGGCATGTGTATGTATTACGAAGAGCTGACGGCTATAGATATTGCTTTTTAGCAAAGGTATACTAGTTATATCCGTTTTTACAACCAGAAAACCTCTAACCCTTTACTTTAGCGAAGGACTCCTAGATTCCATTTAATCTAAAAAACTCGTAAACTCTCTCTTTAAAAACTCTTTTCAACTCTTTTCACAATAAGCTACATAATTCACACATTGCAACGCATTTTATAGGCATATTTTCATCATAAATAAGGCCCGAAAACTATAGTTGTAGCCATTAAAATGTCAAGTATTCTCAGCAGAAAAAGGCAACATTTAGTTTGCTCGGCAGCTTTCGGCTAATGAGTCAAACTCAGCAGATCAAGTTCCATGCCAAGGCCAACACGGGTTTCCAATTTACCCACCTCGTCTATAAGCCCATTCGTATATTTCGCGCTCACAAAAGATTCTTAAGATCAACTTCAAGTCTGGCCGGTCAGCCTTGGCCACGTATCGAAGTTTTGCTCGGCCAACAAGTAGACTTATCTCAGCAAACTGTGCAGCAACTCCAAAAATACCCAAGCAAAGCACTCGATGGGGGTCATAAGGCCTGATTAAACCCCTATAAACATGCGGCTAATGTGCGTTAAGCGCTAAGCTAAGTTAACTAGCGGTAGCCGGCAATCTTATCGACACTTCACTGCCCCGTTGGCGGTGCAAAGTACGCACGGGTGCAAAGCGAATTCAAATTGAGATCGTCGTTGTGGTTGGGTCCCAAGTCGAGTGCAAGTTTTTTTCCCTTTCCTAGTACAGGGCCCATCGAACTATTGTATTTGCCACGGGGGACGGCGATTTGGATTAGTCTTACCTCGTGCTTTTCCCTATCGTATTAAATCTCTGTGGTCTTAAGTGCTTGGAAATGCTTTTCAGACCGTAACATCAGCTCTTCTAGAACTTGAAGTGGAAAGGGCTGTAACTAACTTTAGCTGTTATCCAAGAATTACAGAAGCAGTTCTGTATAGTTTATGCATTCAGAAAAACGTATAAATACGGTGTGTGCTAATGTATCTGTATAACAAATACACACGCTTACAACAAAATCAAATCTCTTAGCTCGCATTTGTTCAGACAAGTGCGATTATTTCAACCTGAAAGTCAATGATATACATTATCTGCCTTGGTTCAGTATTTATTTTGCCGATAGCTTCTTCAATATTGATCAACAGGGGTCAACCCGCAGTAATTCCCTCAATCCTCATAAGAGATAAGATACTACGGTGTGTTAGAGTTCTGTTTCAGTGGTAATACGATTGAAAATGAAAATACAACCGTCAGATTAAGATATCTTTCGGAAAATCCAAAAGCCCTTGAAACGGGCAAAATAAATACGATTTTTCGCAACCTTTCCGTGAACTTTCCATTACTCAGCTCAAAACTAGCAGCGTCATTAAGTTGTGGCTCGCTGGGTCGGACTAGGTTACCACGTTCGGATTGGATTGCAGCCACTTTAGGCGGGTTTATCTCTAGGTTTATCGCATCACGGCTGTTGCGCTTGTCGAGCTTCGATTTCTGTGGGCTATTTATACCGACTCCAACCACTAGTCGTAAAACACACGCGAGATGGGGAAGATAATGCCGGTACGGCTACTACCCTCGAATAGCAGCTAATCAAACACTTTTCCCCCAAACCGAGAAACATATCAATATCCGTTGGTTTTTCAAGTCGCTTGTGGATTTTCCATTACAAAGAAGCTGAATATTAAAGTATTGCTCAGCCATCATAGTCATATAACACTTTCTTCTTTGAACGTACTACAAATTTGATTTGTGTAACATTAGGGTTGCAATTGAAACAAAAATATGCTCAAATTGAATTAATTAACCAAATGTAAACTCCATTCTCTTCCACAGAGCTCTCTGGGCCTATATCAAGCTCCTGAGGTACACGAAGCGCCATGAGCGGCTCAACTACACGGTGGCGGACGTCTTCGAGGGGAATGTTAGAGCCCATCCGGATAAGGTGGCTGTGGTCAGTGAGACGCAGCGCTGGACCTTCCGGCAGGTGAACGAGCACGCCAACAAAGTGGCCAACGTGCTGCAGGCTCAGGGCTACAAAAAGGGCGATGTGGTGGCCTTGTTGCTGGAGAACCGCGCCGAGTACGTGGCCACCTGGCTGGGTCTCTCCAAGATCGGTGTGATCACTCCGCTGATCAACACAAATCTGCGCGGTCCTTCCCTGCTGCACAGCATCACGGTGGCCCACTGCACGGCTCTCATTTACGGCGAGGACTTCCTGGAAGCGGTTACCGAGGTGGCCAAGGATCTGCCAGCCGAGCTCACACTCTTCCAGTTCAACAATGAGAACAACAACAGCCAAACGGAGAAGAACATCCCCCAGGCCAAGAACCTGAATGCTCTGCTGACCACCGCCAGCTTTGAGAAGCCTAACAAGACGCAGGTGAACCACCACGACAAACTGGTCTACATCTACACCTCCGGCACCACGGGATTGCCGAAGGCAGCGGTTATCTCTCACTCCCGGTGAGTTTATTAGCTTTTCTGAACTAAGTGTAAATGTACAATGTACTGCGCAACTTCTAAACGAATTTGTATTTTAGTTATCTGTTTATCGCTGCTGGCATTCACTACACCATGGGATTCCAGGATGAGGACATCTTCTACACGCCCCTGCCATTGTACCACACCGCTGGAGGCATTATGTGCATGGGTCAGTCGGTGCTCTTTGGCTCCACGGTGTCCATTCGCAAGAAGTTCTCGGCATCCAACTATTTCGCCGACTGCGCCAAGTACAATGCAACAGTAAGTGGGATTTATGGCCTAACGTAATCACACTCTAATTCGGCTTTTGTGATTTCCAGATTGGTCAGTACATCGGGGAGATGGCTCGCTACATTCTAGCTACGAAACCCTCGGAATATGACCAGAAACACCGAGTGCGTCTAGTCTTCGGAAACGGACTGCGACCGCAGATTTGGCCACAGTTTGTGCAGCGCTTCAACATCGCCAAGGTGGGCGAGTTCTATGGCGCCACTGAGGGCAATGCGAACATCATGAACCATGACAACACGGTGGGCGCCATCGGCTTTGTGTCGCGCATCCTGCCCAAGATCTACCCAATCTCGATCATTCGAGCCGATCAGGACACCGGGGAGCCCATTAGGGATAGAAATGGCCTGTGCCAGCTGTGCGCTCCCAACGAGCCAGGCGTATTCATTGGCAAGATCGTCAAGGGAAATCCTTCTCGCGAGTTCCTTGGCTACGTTGACGAAAAAGCTTCTGCCAAAAAGATTGTCAAGGATGTCTTCAAGCACGGCGACATGGCTTTCCTCTCCGGTGATTTGCTGGTTGCCGACGAGAAGGGCTATCTGTACTTCAAGGATCGCACCGGTGACACCTTCCGCTGGAAGGGTGAGAACGTGTCCACCAGCGAGGTGGAGGCGCAGGTCAGCAATGTGGCCGGGTACAAGGATACCGTGGTTTACGGCGTGACTATTCCGCACACCGAGGGAAGGGCCGGCATGGCCGCCATCTACGATCCTGAGCGAGAGTTGGACCTCGACGTCTTCGCCGCTAGTTTGGCCAAGGTGCTGCCCGCCTACGCTCGTCCCCAGATCATTCGATTGCTCACCAAGGTGGACCTCACTGGAACCTTCAAGCTGCGCAAGGTTGACCTGCAGAAGGAGGGCTACGACCCGAACGCGATCAAGGACTCGCTGTACTACCAGACTTCAAAGGGGCGGTACGAGCTGCTCACGCCCCAGGTTTACGACCAGGTCCAGCGCAACGAAATCCGCTTCTAAGAGCTGCAATGGATTTGTGTCTGAGCCTTGCCTTTTGCCCGATATGCTGTTAATTAGTTTGTAAGACTAAGTCTAGGAGAGGAAAAACGGGGGAAATCGGCACCAGAGATCTTTCAGCCTAGGAGAGATTGATCCGAAGCGCATTTCCATGTCAACATTACTCTTTTGTATATCGTAAGCATATATAACGTAAACGTAGTTGCATCTGCATTTGTGTAGATGATAGCCCCCTATACGCATTTTAATTGTTTTTAGCGTGCTAAAGAACCTTGTTAAGTGCAATTTCAGCTATTGTTTAGTCAGTTTTAGTGGCATTTACACTTCCATTCTCGCTGCGTTTGCCTGTACATATGAGAAGCGCTGATGTTTTTGTATCAAATAAAGTTTATTCCTTCACCACGGACCGTATTTAAATTCTCAGCTTATCGTGCCGCAGAATGACACCATTCCACCTGCATACAAATGATTATGTGCGATTCGCGCGACTCTCCGATCTGTAGAAATGCACAGAAATATACTCGTGAGTATTCAATTAACCAAACTTGAACCTCGTCGACGTTCAAGTGCAACCGATGGCATAAATTAACGAGAATGCTTAATAGTATTATACAATCCATGATTCAGCTAACGACAATAACGCTTTATAGAAGATGCGCCCTTAATTTAATTATGGGTGTCTACTCTGCTTTCTGTGATCTTTGACAATACAACTACTTACTGCTTACTCGTTAATTATCACACGATTAGAGATAGCCACTTAATTGACAGCAATTAATAGGTAATTTTATTCCAGCAGTAATCTGTTTCAACAGTGCTATTATTTGTAGCACCATTCAACCGGAAAATGATTTGGACCTTTTTAATATTTTAAAAGTATAATGTTGCACAGTCTTTCATAAAGCAAAACCAAATAAAGTGGAGTGCTTATAAGACAAATTGTTTAAAGAATTTCTTTATGGGTGTAGTACAATCACTACTCCACTTCATACTAAGCTTCGCAATGGAAAATTCAAAGTAGTTTGGAGGGCGGGCAGGCGCAAAAGCTCTATCCCACACAGATCCTAAATATGGCCAAGTGGGTGACTCTTCCGGGTGACTGGCAGATCGGCGGGAAGCAGCAGCTAGCCGGGAACCGTTATCAGTGGCGGCAATAACAAGCGAGGCTTCAATTCACTTCCAGTGCAAAGAAGATTATTGCAGTTGCATTGCCGGGTCCGATCCGCCCAGTTGTCCACGTGTGAGTGCGGATGATTGTGCACTAGATTTCATACAAAGTGTGAGGTGTTTACCTCAAGTCCAGAAAGTCAAGTCCGAACGCAGCGATGACGGGAACAGCGGCAGTGCTGCTTAACATTACGATTCCCACCAAGGCGGAGGAGGAGCGCCTGAAGAAGGTGTACGTCCAGGTGGTCAATGGGGAGGTGGCCACGTCCATGGGTACCGCCAGCAGAGTCTCGACCATTGAAAGCTTGTCGACCATTCGGATCGGGGAATCCCCGGAACTGCAGAGCCACAAAGTCCAGAAAACCCCGCCAAAGATCCAAATTCAGACGTCCCACGATCAGCTGCTCGACATCCCACTGGACACGGACCAGGAGCAGGTGGTGCGCCAGATCCTGCGTAAATTTCACATTCCCAATGCCGTTTGGCTGCCCAGCCTGGAGGGGAATGCCCACCACATCAGTTTCTCCATGGACTTTGACGAGCGCTACGAGAATCTGTACGAGGCTCTGCAGGAGTTTGGCATCGGCGATCGGGAGGGCTCTGCGGTATCCGTGGTCAGCTGCCTGGCCCACCGATCCTACGTTCAGCGCGAGGATATGGAGGAGCAGGAGGACCAGCCCTCTAGCACAGAGTAAGACCGATGAAATTGGGAAATTTCCAGCTACTAAATTTTACAGGATCCACCTTCTACAGATACCTCAATGCCCAGAAGCAGGGAATCTGGGATCGGTTCATGAACTCGGTGCGCTCCCGATTGAATGTGGCCCAGATCGTGAGGGATGTGCGCCAGGATGCGGCTATCACCTTCGACTTTTGCATACTCCTCGTATCGGCGGCGTAAGAAATGACTTAAAATATAATTATTATAGAATTGGAATTTCGAGAAGTGCATTAGATATCCGTTTCTTCTTAAAGTTGTAAAAACCCTAATTAGACTAATCTACCCTAATCAGCTGACTAAATGGACCTCAGCTGGTAATACAATTTCGTGACCAGAAATGTTTCAGCATTTTTCGAAATCCAATATTCTATATCTGCCAGTTGTGATACCACGTATTCCCTTACAGAGTTCTGGCGAGCTTTGGCCTGGTGGAGAATAGCACGATTTTCCTTGCCTCCAGCATGCTCATTTCCCCGCTCATGGGTCCCATAATCGCGGCCATATTCGGAACTGTGATCCAGGACCGATCGCTCCGCAGGCTGGGCATGCTGAACGAGCTGATTGGCATTCTGAGCGCCACTCTGGTGGGCTTCCTCTTCGGCCTGGTTGTCTGCACCACGGATCGCAAGTACGGGATCGGCGAGGGGCTGACGGAGGAGATGCTATCTCGCTGCGATCTGCACTCCCTCATCGTTGGGGTATTCACGGCCATCCCGTCGGGAGCGGCGGCTGCCATAGGAATCCTGGGCGGCAACATTGGCTCCTTGGTTGGCGTGGCCATATCGGCCTCGCTGCTGCCACCTGCGGTTAACTCGGGTCTGCTGTGGGCAGTTGCCTGCATCTACAAGTTCTTCGAGAACGACGATTCCCTCTACGTGGATGTGATTAAGTCGCGCCGCTACTCGGACAACCAGGCCAAGGAACTGGCCGTGCTCGGCGGCATCAGCATGTGCTTAACTCTGTCCAACGTCCTGTGCGTCTATCTCATGGGCATCCTGGTGCTGAAAGTCAAGGAGATCGCCCCGGTGATTGGCCGCAAAAACCGGCAGTTCTGGAAGCACGACATAAAGCTGGCGCGTCATGGAAAAGTGGAGACGGAGTCGGAGATTCTCAACGAGCTAATAGCCAACCTGGCCACCGAAGACAAACACGCGCTGGGCTCCCTCAACCGTCAGTTCCTGCGCCACCTGGACGAGTCGCACTACCAGCACACTTGGTCGCCGCTCAGCAACCGACACAGTTTCTCAATGCCACAACCGCCTGGAGCCGGCATCTCCACCATCCACCGCCTGGAACAATTGTACGCGTCGAGAATTGGTACTAGTCAAGCACCAGCAGAACGCCGCCAACGGCACAGTGTAGTGAGCAGGCCCTCGCAAAGGAGCCACGAGGTCTCCGTCCAGTTGAGTCCTCCCCAACCAGTAAGTAGCTCACAGTACTGTCCATACCGAGCGCTTATTTCGTGTATTCCAGCGTCCACGTTTTGCGAGCATGCCATCACAAGTGAAGGAAGCAAGGGACGAGCCAGCGAGGGAAGCAGCCAACCAAGTGACCAGCTCCAAGAGGTTTACAGTCACACCAGCTCGAGTTGATGAGCAGCCCTAGAATGTTTTCAAGTCCATTTGGGTTTTCACTCTCACAGATTGTGTATAATATTAAATAATGTTAGTGTCAATTTTGTAAACTTAATTAGTTGTTATACTCCAGCAGGGGGTATGCCCATACAACATCTGTGACAGTGCTAACCTGAAATGGCGTCCATAGCATAGTTAAGCGTATATGTGTAATGTGCATCTTTGTGTAACAATTGCCAATAAAAACTACAAGTCTATTCCGCTGGGTCCCTGTCGATCCGCCTTGACCTGGGCTCGACCACGTTTCAGTTGGAGGCGTTCGCGGGCCGCTCGCTCTTGGCGCCTGCGAAGCTTCTCCAGCGTCTCCTCGCTGGGCGGCGCAGTTTCCACAGCCTCCTGCGAGCGAATGACGGTGCGCAGCTTCTCCAGCGCATCGGCCAGGTTCATTTGCTGGGAGCGCGTGAGGTCACTCTTGATGTAGAAGTAGCCGTCTTTGGTGATCCGGTTTGCCAGCACCGTGAGCAGCTTCTGGCGCGTCTGCTCGGGTATCCAGTCCGCCTGTGCCACCTTGAAGCGCACATCCACCTTGGTATTCACTGTGTTCACGTGCTGACCGCCGGGTCCTGAGCTCCTACTGTAGGTGATCTCCAGTTTGTCCATGGGAATGAAGCCACTGAACTTGTCGCTGCCACTGGGCTGGGGGATGTATGTATCAATGGCTGAGATCCATGGGGGCACTGCATCCACTTACCGGCGGGGGCGGCGTGTAGATCTGCAATCGCGCGCTGGGATAGAGCTTGTCGAGGGATAAATCGCTCTTGTAGGAGAGCTGACGACCCAGGAGGTTGCTGGCGCCGCCCGAGGAGCTGCTCTGGCGCAGGACTCTAATGAAGGCACTCGTGATTTTATTCATTTTATGCCGATATTCAACGACTTTAGTTAAATTAAATGTTACGAGAACGACGGTTGTGTTCACCACAGAACAGCTGTTCGTGGTGAGTTCAGTGCAGTGTGGCCAAACACATTTCTCTAGTTATGTTAACATGTTAACATATGTTACCATATGTTACATATGTTATGTTAACATGTTATGTTAACATGTTAACATATGTTACCATATGTTACATACATACATAGAGCCATATGTTACATATGTTATGTTAACATGTTAACATATGTTACCATATGTTACATATGCTAACATATTTCCAAACTTATGTTTTTTTTATATAAATTAAAAATTAATTATATTAATATAATTATAAAATGAACGGTGTGTGGATGTGCGCGGAACGTAAATAAGAAATAATAAATAATAATATTTTTCATATATTTTGCACAGACCCATCGTGACCCATCTCTAGGGAACTATCGATGACGAATTTCAGACCACCACTAGGCCTCGATAACTTCTTCATAGTCACATCTCTAAGATCCAATCGCCATTTGAAATCGCAATTCGACCACAGTCCCTCTTTGAACTCGGTCGAAGGCGGTTGTGCGACGGCCGATTGTTATTATTAATCCGCCGAAAACGAAACCGAATCCAGGTGGGCAATCGCACTGACCATCAGCTGCACATTCCGGACAAGTTTGCACCGATCTTAGATATATATACCTCTATCGAAAACTGGAGATCCCGATACTAAATGCCTATGTATATCGTGCTACGTCGTGAAACTTGCGGTATTCAATAAACAGTGAGGTAGATAGTGGTTGCTGATCGAGTTCTCGTCATATTCATATGTTCTGCTTCCGATCTTGTTTTGTTCTTGTTCTTATGGCTGCTCGATTCCAATTGGAAGCGTTCGATCGGTGCAGAAATCCAGAATTATTCTTTATTGATCGCTGAATTCGTGTTCGCCGAGAATTATTCGTCGCAATCAGCAGAAGCGGCCCGAATAGGCTCATAAAACATAAAAAGCGCTTGGCAGCAGCCACACGGAATATATACACGTATATATGTATATATTTATATTTGTACACATAGTTAAAATTCGAAACGAGACGCGAAAGGCGAGGCAAACAAAACAAGCAAATAAAAAAGAAACAAAACAAAAACCAAGTGAACGGCGTGTTTTTCGGGCTACTCCTTTCGTTCTTACCTGAGTAAAACTCACCTCTCACCTTTGCAGCCGGCAATTAGCATCCCCCTCGATCCCCGGAATATCGCTCCCTCCGCTCGCGAGCCTGAATCTAAGAAACCGAGAGAAAAACAGGATCAGAGGACACCATGGCCATGCAACGGGAAGCTGGAGTGCAGGACTTCGTCCTCCTCGACCAAGTGAGCATGGAGAAGTTCATGGATAACCTGAGAAAGCGGTGAGTAAAGTGTCTAAATTAATTCAGAAATACTTGCTAAACTCTTTCCAAAAAAGAAACTACCACTTGGCTAATAGAATTTCCTTTTCATATTGTTATGAATCGTAAAAAGCGCCCTTCCTCAAAAGTAAATTGCTTGCTAAAATGTGCTTACTAGCAATGTCACAATAGGGAATTCCTCAGGTGGCCTTGTCCTCCGCCAACTTGTCCATCTACTCCACTCCACAACCCACCACCCGCCGCCCCCCGAACTCCAGCCTGCTGGAAAACCACTTTTCCACCAGTCGATGGTCTAGTTCAAGGCTTCTGTTTTGATCGATTGGCGAGCGGAAAAACTGGTTCGCCTGTGGTTCTCGGCTTTTCCGCCTCGATTAAACTGGATTTGTTTATCGGCGATTCCATTACTATAAAGCCGACCTTATCTCTCCATTTAACCCTTTCCATCCGAGTTCTCGGTTCCACTCCAGAGGGCACTCAATAGCCCATTTGCATGCTCACTTGGAGTGTTAAACTCTCCTTTTTGTGCCATGACTTTCGGTTTTAACTGCATTCATTAGCGGCATTTCAATTCAATTTGGCAGTGGAATGAGAAGTGGTAATAGATTTTATGGTGTGGGGGTAGAATTCCCGAGAAATGGGATCTATTTAGAGTATAATTAAACTCTGTTTTGTTGGTAACAAGCACTGGAAATATAGTTTTCTATTTGTATAGCAATATAATATGTTTTAACTACGAACTACATGTAAAGATATTAGAAAATGATTTGGTATTCATATGATTTCCTTTCAAAGAATCATTTTTGTTGTTTAATGTAGTAGCTTCCAAGTGGCAGATGTATCTGTAATTTACACAGCTACCATTGTCTAAGTTATATATTTACGAAAGTGAAATTCTTGTCACATTCCCACTCCAAGCCAACTTCCAACCGCCCATTCGCCCATTCGCGTGTCAATATTTGTGTGGCCGGCACTGTGGTTCCAGGTGGTTACCTACATGACCATTATGTAAAGTTCCTTAACCCCCGACAACCACGCAGCACAACCCACATGGACCGCATACGAGTGTATCATTTCGTTTAATTTCATTTCGGTCCGAGTGTCAACAACTTGCTGCAACCACTTCCTTTGGAACTGGAGCATAGATGGATCCCCCATCCAATGCCCCGGGTCGCTGGTTTGCACGGCTGGCTAACTTTCATGTAGAAACGATCATTATCGGGAAAAGTTCTCGCCACCGCATACAATAATAAATGAATAAATTCAACAGATTAGCAGAGCTTTGTAGCACTGTGGCACATTTATGGTAATGATTGTTCTGACTTCTCCTTTACCAAATATTTTGCAATGCCTATAAATAAATGGTGTTACGGTGCCGGCACTGATTCATCTAATCTGTGTATATAGACTCAGTTGCCAAAGACACTCGGGCGATTCATCACAATTACGATTGGAATGATAAGACAAAACAAAAATTGAAAAAGACTCTATAATTGAAATTGCCATCGCAATAGAAAACTAATTGGAGGGAACCCAGTTGTCTTAGAGCTGGTAAAATCCCCATGGTTGATTAGTGGGTTGCATAAGACTGTAATTAAGGCACACTAACTGCCAAAGATGCGTTAACCCACTTCGGTGGCTCACAAATCGCTTATCAAGGCATCGCAATCAAATTAAGCTGTGTAAATTGGACTAATTACATAATCACAGTAAACACGATTTTCATGTCTTACTACACGGCATAATCGTAGCGTAACTCAAATCAATTTGCTGTTTGTTAATAAATATTTAACAGGAAAGCCGGAAAACTCAAACGCAACCGAGTTGGGAAAAGCTCCTGAACAAATTGAGGGTCAAAAACGCGCCAAAAACCGGAGAAAACACCAGACACGTAATTGGAAAATGCGCGAAAAAACGTGAAAGAAATAAAAGAAATGCAGCGAAACAAACTCACTTTCATTCGGCTTCAATCAAATGGGGAAATGAATGCATTTCGCTGCACATATGTAGTTTACTTGTTCGTCACATGACATCAGATGTACACATTATTTGGCAGCTTGAAAATCGTATATTTTATTAGAAAAATGAAATATATTTGCATGCTCCGTGACTCACACTGTGTATCTTGCAGATACTCAAGTCAACAATAAGAAAACCGAAATAAAAATGCCATGGCGTAGCCAAAATACGAACCGGTTGATGGCGTCAGTTTGGCCGAGAGACTCACCCACAAAATAGAGGAAGCAAAAAATGTACAGATGTACATACATATGTACATATGTGTGTGTTTGGAAGAAAACTTGTTTCTCCTGCCCCAAACGATCCCACATATTCCCCAATCCCCCAAAGAAGCAGACGCAATCCAAGTTCGCAGTATTTGGAGCAAGTTGATCTTTTACGACTGTCATTAAGTCGAGTGTCCTCATGGGAGGGCCAAGTGGCCCATAAAATCGCTGATCGATTGCCCTCTGACCCTTTTAGCACCCAGTGCATCACACGCAACTCATTGCAACTCAAGTGCCCCATTTCGAGTCTATTTAGCTGATAAGTTTCGTTTTCATCTTCGACAGTTGTTTACGCATTTATTTGGCTTATATTTCGAGGGGATCTAGCATCCAAAGCACTCGTATTTTCCATGAACTGCTTTCTCTGTGGAAAACATTCACTGGGTCGATGAATATGGAGCATTATTTTTGGGTTTTACCAAGTGATTTGTTTGACATCGAGGAAATTCCATATTCTATAAATGTGACGAGGTGAAGAAGCCGATTAAACGTAGCTATATATTTTATAGCA